ATGGATTACGGGAGATGAAACCAGCCACGATGACGAAAGCAGCTATGATGAAGAATCTGACAGCGAAACCCCTGAAACAAGTGACGATATATATTAGAAACACAATTTTGTAAAACGTTTTGAAGAAATAAATTTAAAAACTGAAATATTGTGTAAATTTTTGCCGGCAAAGCCCACTCTTTCCGCCCGCGCGATCCGCCCGCCTGATTAGTGTACAAATATGTTGTACGTTAATATATGCATGCACGCAAGCGTCGCTAATGACTTAGCAACAAATAACAACGTATATAACGATTACATGTTTTTATTGCAAAATATATTACAACTGTTCCAATTCTAACTTATATTCTTGATAAGCTTACTTATGATCTGACTCGGTCATCTTAACAGTATATATGTATGTAGAATATTTGCTAAAATAACGTTGAACAACATGTAAATATTGACCTTAACAACGACGTTGACAACTCGGGATTAGGAACTGTTTAGTTTAAAATATGTTTAAAATATGTTTAAAATATGATTTTTGTGACGAATAGATTCCTTATTTGCCCTCGTTCGTTTTCATTCATCATGCGGCAGTCATGTTGTCTTTGACTAGGATGACCGACTTGACAACCATTACAGGATTCCACACAAAGTCTTTCAACTTTTGGCTGCAAAGCGCTCCTGTCTTGTCTAAATCGCTTTCTCTCTTCCCGCACGGATAACCTGCGACGCCCGCGCAGTGAATATCCTAATCTACCCGTATTTATCCACACAGTAGAAAAATGCAAATCTCTGATAAAAGTTAATCCTTTAATTAGTGTCACCCTAACAACACATAGCAACCGGTGTGCTTTAATATAGCTTAAATTTATTAACCTTATCCGAGTTTTAGTACTTTAAAAAACTAGCAATTAAATATAGAAATCGCTTGACAATTATATATCATAATCTCTAATTTCCATGTGTTTATATAACTCTAAACAGCAACATATTCTCTCGTATATAGACCTCATATGGCAGACCGGGATTTAAATATAGTTTAATTGTATATACATAATAACTCTTACCGCATGCTATTTCTCAGCGTTTTGACGCTTGATAATATTTATATATTACTTAACAACAAAACATATAGCTGTGTACCCCGAATATATAAGTTTTAGATATATAACACTAATGATATTTCATATAGTATCAGATTTTTTACTCCTCTAGGAGCTAAATTAAAGGAATCACTTGACAATGACAGCAAAATGCCAGAGCTGTACTTATAAAACTCCAGACAACAACATAATTCTTCTCTTGTGTATATCCCTAACTATTGTATCATACACGTGGAGGGACGCTAAAAAATGCGTAGTCAGCAAGTTTCACCTGATCGTGTTTAAGCTCGCCCTCGTGACGTCATTGCATATAATTATGACGTATGTTAATGAGTGACGTCACTACGCACCCTCATTTGTACGAGTATTAATTAGCGCACCCTCAACATCCTTACGCACCCTCATTTGTATGAATATTAATTAGCGCACCCTTACGCACCCTCAAAAATCCGGATCGATCGATACCTATATTACTACTGCTGAATCGTTGCCGTCAAACAGTGATTCTCAAGCTAATGAACGTGAATATGTTCTAAATGTTTTAGGGGGAAACAATTACCCAAAGCGTTTTCTTAATGATTGCTTGAGGTCACCTGTTTGTAGGAACTAACTCCGAGGGTGATACCTCCGTTAATAAGGGTTTTGCAATTGTTCCATACATTCAAGGTGTCACAGAACCAATCAAGAGAAAGTTAAGTAATTGTAATATTAAGGTTGCCTTAAAACCCTATTTGACTTTAGGCCAAATTTTCGCAAAGCCAAAAGATCCTGTTGAAAAAAATCAGAAGACTCATGCTATATATTCTATACCATGCCGTGACTGCGACAAAGAGTATTTGGGTCAGTCTAAACGCCAGTTTGGTACACGGCTAAAAGAACATCAAAAGGCTGTTTCAACTTTAGACAAGGGAAAATCAGCTTTAGCCGAACATGTATGTTACACCAAACACGAGATTGCGTGGGAAAACTCTGAAGTAATTACCACAAACAATCGCTTTGGTCAAAGACTTTGCCTAGAAGCGTGGCATATAAATATGAGTCATCATGCTTTGAATAGGGATGACGGCGCCTATTTGCCAGAGGAATATATCATCTTCTTGGCATGTGACGTCATCCCTTGGGTATTTAAGAAGCCACGGTCGCAGTTTTAGATCACCCCTGATGAAGACACTAGACTGGAGTGTCGAAACGTTGGGTCTTGATTACAATTCGACTGGGCTTTGTAATCATTTATTTAAACCAGAGTAGCGAGCGAAACATGAGAAATATTTTTTCGTTTGTCATCCATACGTGATTTATTGCGTGATGGGTGTCTTATTATATTGCCAAGAAACTTTCTAGGATATCTATTGTTCACGAAGAATGTAAAGACCTTATTAAGATATTCTTTACAAAGAGTAGGGTTCGTAGAGCAAGCAACGCCCTTCTGGTTTCATCCACAATGCTACTGTGTCATTACTATCTCACGGGGTGATTCATTTGCTGTGAATGGGCTTGACATAAAGTGTAGCTGGGAAAGATTGGCTTCGCGGAATTGTAAGATACCAAAGTGTCTAGGAATGGCATGCAGTTGGTTGTTATTAGGCATGTTTAGAGTAAATTTAATGTCATTGTTAAGTTCATTAGCTATTGTCAACAATCTCTCTCCGCATATCTCTTGTGACATCAAGAACGCAAAATAACCATCGATGAATCTCTTCAGTTTTACGCGACCCCCCGCTCCGTCCGTAATTAAGAAATCGATTTCATTTATAAGAATTAGTTACGAATCACAATGGTTTGTTGTCAATAATTTCAAAATAAACTACATTATTCCATCTTTTAGATGGAACACCGCTTCGAGAAAGCCAACCACAATGAAATAAAATGTTCCGTAATTTTGGCAACGAAACTTTTTCTTTCAATCATTACCTTGTTATTTTTTGGTGGAATTATTGTTGTTGGCAACAAAAATATTCCATTTTGTCACAAACTATGGAAGGACCTTGGAAACGATATGGCAGACTGGCGTGAACGATGCTTAGTGGACGGAGATCACGAATTAATTAATTCATCACGTTGTCAAGCTGAAAAAGAATATCTTGAAGAGAGGCGACGCAACCACAGACAAATGTGTTTTTATGAAGGTACAAGAAAATACAATTGATTATTACTTAAAGTTTTGAAGGAATTAAAGTGGATATCACAGATTTTCACGTCTTGATACAACGTGCAACTTCAAACTGGCTTCAGCAGAACTCTTCCCAAACATAAAACCCATGTCTTCAACTTCTAAGACTGTATTAAATTCATACGATTGCTAATATACCACGAATTGTCTTTACTCCCGTTTATTTGAAGGATTTGTTTTGCCGTCGTCGTCGCGTTGACGTCCTAAAATCGTAAGGTCTCTAATAACCCTTCTGTGCGATCGTTAAATCACTTGCCGTTAGATGCCTGTATATTTATAAAAGTTATTTGGAAACGATATATACATCCTTTACTGCTCCGCCCTTTCAGAGAGATTATGACACTCTTGGTTCATTTTTGTTTGAGAATAAGTTTCACTTTCACTTAAAATATGCACTTACTGTACTACATGTTTCGCCGGTTTGAATATAGCCTACTAGCTCAAAGCAACAAGCAAGAAATTCGTTTTTTACATCAAAACATTTTTGAATACCCAATCATGTATTAAAGTTGATTGTTTATAGATTCTAATTTAGTGCCTTGTCTCTCTATGCACATGAAAGCAATATAAATGTATAATAGTACACTCATAGGCCTACGGGTTTCGTATCTATTGGAGGAGCTGTGGTCTATATTGGCCGAAAGTATTTGGGCCCCTTTCTTGACTTTTCTTTGAGGGATATTACCCCCTCCCCCGAATTAAACGAATTAAGATTGAAATGATTTTACGATATAAATATACTGTTAAGAAAGCGAATAAAATTACGCGTTGATCGACTTCAAGCGATGACGGGGATTATATGAACCGCTTTTCACGCGAAAAACATTACTCTCTAATAAAATGTATAATATACTTTCTTCTAATATTCGCCTCTGATAGATGTGTACATTCGGAGGAAATCGGTGCATATAGTTTTAGTTACCAAGATCAGTATGTTTACAGTGCTTTCATACACTGATAAATAATTAAAAGATAATACCGGCGGATATAATTAGCAACGCGTGCATGTAAATTTCAGTCGGCACATGCGTCAAGACTTTTGCTCTATGTTATAAAGCTAGCATAATTGCTGGCATATTTATAACTTAGCCTTTATCCAAATAACAGCCATATTTGGAACATAGTGAACAATTTTGTATGTTTTTAACGCGAAAAATTTAAGTAAAACATTAAACAAATTATAGCTCATAATTAGTCGAATTTGCGAAAATTGACTATATTCATGACGCGCTTGTCAGGCGAAAAACACATTGCCCAAAGGTCAGCCTAGACCTAGGCCTTCTATTTTTATTTATATTTTTTTAATATTCAGCGCTTTTTCACATGAAAAGACTGGGACTAGGTGATTTGGGGGCGGGGCGGAGGAAGGACACAAGCCTGACGCAAGCGAAAAAATAGAAGGCCTAGTGGATTTCCCAACAACAAGGCCAAAACTGCCCTGAAACTGCCCTGATTGCGAAATACCCAATTGTTGCGTTCCCAAACACAATTATTTGCAACTTAACAGCGAATTTAAACCAATACAGGTAAAATAAACTCATTTATAGTATAAACTTACTATTTTTATTTGTATACACGTCTAGAAAATCGGGGTTTTTATCATAAAGTTTGAAGCAACACTATATTTATATATGTTGACAAGATGTAGCGAAACGGCACAAAATAATAATTATTTTATTCGCTAGACTATCTACTGTTTTGCTTTGAATAACTATATTTGCGAATTGGGTATGAGGATTTTGAAATTACTGTTCAAATATTACGGATATACCATATGTAAACAATGTACGTTTTTATATACAGTACTGTACAGGCTATTAATAATATATGTATCTGTTTTATTTTGTATATTTTACAAACACAAGACTGCTTCTTGCCAAAATTGAGAAAATATATATTAATGTAGTTGTGTATAAGACAAAATTTCATGAAAGATTCTACTTTTGGTATATATTTTGACTCATTTTGTGCTTTCGCTACACCTTGTCAACATATTAAATATTAAATAGTGTTGCTTCGAACTTTATGATAAAAACCCAGATTTTCTAGACGTGTATATAAATAAAAGTAGTAAGTTTATACTAGAAATGAGTTTATTTTACCTGTATCGGTTTAAATTCGCCGTTAAGTTGCAAATAATTCTGTTCGAGAACGCAATAATTGGGCATTTCGCAACCAGGGCAGTTTCAGGGCAGTTTTGGCCTTGTTGTTTGGAAATCCACTAGGCCTTCTAGACTTGCTTCCTCTGCCCCGCCTCCAAATCACCTAGTCCCAGTCTTTTCATGTGAAAAAGCGCTGAATATTAAAAAATATAAATAAGACTAGAAGGCCTAGGTCTAGGCTGCCCAAAGGTTTTATTCTTTGTTCTAGTATTGTCACAATACTCAATAGCTGCAATAGATTGGATACCTGATACCGTTGCACTTTTGAGAAAAAAAAAATTACCGCCGGCATACTAACACGAATATTTAATTTGCTGTCTGCAAGACGTTTTTAAAAAATCACAATAAATTGTTTGCTTCAAGTGATCAGGATAATTTTTAGTTTAGGTTTATGCCGAGGCAGAAAATAATAAAATATATAAGTTTCAAGAACTTAGAATAAAAGCGCGAGATGAAAGTGAGATGTAAAAAAGCTCAAATATCAGCGCGTATAATTAACGTTTTAACTTGTTTTCGAACGCGTCCGGAAATAATAGCGAAAAAAATGTAAACACTGACTCCAATTCCAAAGTCAACGTTTTTTGTTCCTTTTATGAATGACTTCTTCCACACAGAAAGTATGGAAGAATTCTGTAATCTTACGAAATTCGAGTTGTCGGACTGCCTCTTAAAGGCACATTTTGGTTATTATGTGGGGCCATTTTGGTTCTTTCAAAGGGCTGTTTTCAATCTTATAATTAGAATGATGCCAATTTCAGCTTTCAAAAAAGGACCAATTTAGCTCCTATGTGGGGCTGTTTTGGCTCTTTCAAAAGGGGCTGTTTTGGCTCTTTCAAAAGGGGCTGTTTTGGTGCTTTCAAAAGGGGCTGTTTTGGCTCTTTCAAAACGGGCTCTTTTGGCTCTTTCAAAAGGGGCTGTTTAGGTGTTTCAAAAGGGGATGTTTTGATTCTGAAAACAGCGCCATTTTATCGTTGCTCACTAGACATATTCAAATAATCACACAATACAAGTTTAAAAAGGTGTATTGACTAGTTTAACATTAAAATATTCACCAGATGCTGGGCATTTTGGTGCGGCAATACCCAACACTACAAAAAATTATGTGTAAATTTTACAAAAAAACGTGAGTAAAATTTGCATCCACAGCAACACATTTACTGTATATGTCATAATGTCCTATTGTTTTACTTGCCAGTGCTGTCAGATAATGGGTTAAACAAGTAGAACGCCTCTCATGTACAACTGAGGTGAAACCATGAATGTTTTCTGGAATCAGGAATGAGCCAATAGTATATTAGATCACAAATACAGTACCGACAACATCACCCTTGCATTTTAGAAAGCATCTACCATGTTCAAAGATTCTTTATCACGATGTAAACTCCATCCTACATAATGAATGATTACAGATAAATTATTTAATATTTGTTTTCATAGGAAAAATTTTATTCACTATGGCTCCAACCCTTAGACCAAATTATAGCTAGTACATGCTAACCCAGAAATAGTCATGCACCTATATGGAAATTCACTGATATTCAGATACCCGATATGGAAGGACCGATATTTTGCAGATACTGACACCGATATTCCATGTCATTACACAAAATTCAAAGATAACATCAAATTACTGATATTTCAATTTGGTACCGATAAGCCGATGATATACCAATATGAATATTGGTGCACTACTACCCAGAAATCATGGTCTCACAGGAAAATTTTCAAATTTTAACCCATGAAGTTGCATTGAACTCCTACTTTACTGTATTCCTGTCTAATGTCAATTACCAGACAATTTTATTTGTGAGTGGGAGTGCTGGTGATTAATGGGTTAATCCGACCATGTTTCTAGTGATTCATTAGTTGCATTGTGCCCCTATGTGAATACGCCCTTATTTTATTAATGTCTTTAACCCATTAAGTGCGGCATTCTCCCTTTTACAAGAAAAATCGTCTGGCATTAGACAGAGTAAAATGTGGGGCGCATCAGGGTGCAATGCAACTTACAGTGTAATCCATGGATTTTGTTCATTCAGCTTTGGCTACCAGAAATGTGATAAAAAGGCAATGTGCATGTAATACAAAGCTAGATTCATGATTTGTCTTATAAATTACCATTAATACATTAGGCACTAGCACTCTCCACTTGAGTATTGACAAGTAAAATTGTCTCACGTTAGACAGAGTACAATAATTTGGCATTAACACAGTATTCATATTAAATTGATACTTTTGAGTGCAGAATGGAAAGCTTTGACTTCCACTCACTCTAATGGGTAATCGTCTATAAAGTCAAGATTCTAGGGTATAAAGGAATTTCTATAATCACACTCACCATGTAGTAATTTTAAACAGCTTTCCCTTGTCTGTAAGTTAGCTGTAATAGGTATGCTGGCAACGAAAAAACAAGATGTTAGCACTTGTAAAAAGCTAGAATACTAGTTTTATGATCCCCCTTGCAATATGAACTATATTGAGTGTTTACAGTAAAATGAATGATTCCACCTCTATTTGGCCTAGGTGAGACCTCATTACTTGTTGCTGGGATCCCACCTGCCAAGACGAGATATTCTCATATACAGTAAGCACTCTATCATTCCTGCCAGAAAGAGTGCATGTATCCCGTATATTTTGCTTAGCCCAGTTTCTCACTTCTCAGCAAGACTGGATTAAAATCTCCGGTCCAGCCATGCCATTATCACATACATGTAAACAGGCACATACAATATATAAACTCTACAAGGGTTTAGATTGAAAATCCTTCAAGCTCAAGCTAGCGAAAGTTTATACTTTCAAAGTGGCTATATCTACGGGTCCGTAAACAGACTTCACCAGGCTATATTTACGGCACTCTTATGTACTAAACCAGCAGTATAAATTGTATTGTTTAAGAAGGATTTCAGCGAGCTCGAAAATATATACTTTTTACCATATTGTGGGCAGCACTAACCCTTTAAGGCATAATGTGCCCTCTATTTTACTTGTCAAGGGGAGAGAGATGCCACTCGATGGCCTGAAAGACCATGACCTGATGACCTTGGAAATCCAGAAGAGGGGTGATTAAGAACAGAATGTTAAATTAAATTGCCTTATGTGGCAATATACCCAGATGCGCCCTACTTTATTATTTTACTCTGTCTAATGCCAGACGATTTTACTTGTGAGAACAGAATATTAAATTTAATCAATTCTATATATTGGGTTAACAATTTTCTGATTCAGATAGAGAACATATTATGACATCCTCAAGTTTAAATTAATACTCCCAAATAATTTTCGTGTTTTGACTTTGAGGCTTGATGTAGTCATATTATTCATATAATTTCACATATAGTTTTGTACTATGTGTCTATGTGGTTTCAAACATGCTTTGGGGTGTTGCCAAACAAGTACAAAACCCAGTATTTACTATAATGTGTTTACTCAAAATTTGAATTGTTGATTTTAACTAATATTTGACGGCACTGAAATGAAATAACTTCAATATAAAACGTACGAATTCTCGCGCGCCCAAATTCAAATTTTAGCAGCAACAACAACCACAAATGGACGTTGTAATTATATGATATAAACAATCATATTTTGTACCTGAGATCAAACAAGCCTTTGGCAGGATTCGGAGTCACTTATCCAATAAAAAATATGACGAGAACCTGTCGAAAGCAGGCTTTTCTTCGTCGAAATATACTCGAACGAACTCGAACGAAGTAAAAAATGTGCAAATCACACTTGATATTCGATACACGACATACCACAACTCATTGCGCGCGTGGCGCTTCTAAAATAGATACACCAAAAAGCGCTTCCATCTATCGCTAGCTTGAATCATAAATGAATCTTGAAGCATAAATCTGGCCAAATAATGACCATAAAAATTGGTGAAAATTCTTATTCCCGAGCCGGCGGAGCGAAGCGCCGTGCGAGGGTGCTTATTCCCCCGGCCCCGGCCATTTACACCCGGGGAAACGAAAGCATTAGCGAAGTCTAAAGTTCATCAATGAGCGCGGGCGTCGGTCACCAACGATGGGTGGTCATCCTCACTGATCTCAAAAATATGGCGGACTGTGATGAATAACGGACACTGATTGGTCCAATCTAAAGTTCACATTACAACGACTGCATGACGACAGCGAAATAGCAAACATTTCTTGATTTGATGATTGATAAATTTCTTGCAAATATATTTCATTTTTGCTCGTATTTCTGCAAGATTTTGTAAATTTCAAGAAAGAAAGGGCGAAAGAATCAGCTAAAAGAAGGGAGCCGACGTTAACGAATAAAGTAAGTTTGTTTTAAATATTGATTTTATAATGGCTTTAAAACCCAACGGCCTTTCCGCATATGAAACAACTAAACAAGACAGCATATAATTTCAGTGTATCTTTAATATTGATTCCCTTTTTTATTATATTGATTTTTTTAAATAAAAAATAAAGCAAAGTTATTTGCAAGCGAGAATTTGAAATCATTTTATTGCAAACTCAAATTTATCGATAAAGTCATTTAATAGTTAAGGGGTTGCAAGGAGGGTCTCTTCACGAAATCACGAAGATCATTTTTAGATTTCACGAGTCACGAAAAACAAAATTTCATTTTCACGATTTTTAGAAACACAGAAGCGTATAAACAATGTCTGAAACTATTTAACGATTTTCTAAACAGCAGAAATCGATGTTAACACAAACACATTTTACTGACTTTAACATTAGAGCTTTTAAAGGACTATCAATCATTGCAAGGCATTACGAAACATTACGAGCGTCTTACGATGGTTCACGAAGTCTACGAAGAGGTACGAAGGTACACGAGAACGACGTTTACGATAAAACGAAGAAATCTAAAGAAAGACAACCGCGGGAATCATTTTTTTAACGTTAATATTAAATTTGGGTCGAGTTTTAAACGTAAACATTCACAATTTAGGGTAAAATATTGGAAAATTCAAGACCCTAGCTAGCCCTTTTAGCTCTTCACGATTCACGGCACGCATATTAATCACGATTCACGGAATGTTATTTCTTCAAATCACGAATCACGAAGCACGAATAATTGCTAATCACGGGTCACGAAAATAACCTTGCCCCCCTCTTAAAGGCAGTTTAGTTTAATAAAGAACGCTTTATAATTTAGAACATTTTGTGAATTGTTTGTGGTTGAATTTTACCTTAAATTGAAGCTTGTATTACGTATAATTACATATCTAACATATATATGTTGGGAAATTGATAATTCTGTAATTAAAAGTGATATTTTTAGGCGATTTTTATTTGTAAGAATATTCTTAAAAAATTATCGTGTTACCATGACAACGACTTTAGATACTTCATGTTTGGAAAATACAACGGTTGTGTCAGCAAGGCGAGGGTTTCTGCATGCATGTATTTTCTAGTAAGCAAATAATGAAGATAGATTCTCTAAAAAAATATATGTCAATTACCATAATAATGATAATATAAAAATGTTATGGTTTAATTAACGTATCGCATGCCACATAACATGTGATGGAATGTCATGTCATCGCAAATCTCGGACCATCCATAGTCATGGACCAGAACGTTAACTTCTACAAGACGTCCCTTAAATCTGGCTCCATATCCGAAACTAGTCCCTGTGTTACTATACTCCTGAAGAAAAGTTAGCTATATGAATTTTAGTCATTTAGAATAACATCCCAATTTGGCCCTGTACTTGGCCAAAACAGCACTAAGTATGAGGGCCATAACAGCACCTAAATATGGGGCCAAAACAGCACCTAAATATGGAAACCAAAACAGCACTAAATATGGGGCCAAAACAGCACCTAAATATGGAGAACAAAACAGCACTAAATATGGGGCCAAAACAGCACCTGAATATGCATACCAAAACTGCACTAAATATGGGGGCAAAGCAGCACTAAATGTGGGGTCAAAAAAAGCACTAAATATGGGGCCAAAACAGCACTAAGCATGAGGGCCAAAATACCACCTAAATATGAGGCCAAAACAGCACTAAATATGGGGCCAAAACAGCACTAAATATGGGGCCAAAACAGCACCTAAATATGCAGACCAAAACTGCACTAAATATGAGGCCAAAACTGCACTAAATATGGGGTCAAGACAGCACTAAATATGGGGCAAAAACACCACTAAGCATGAGGGCCAAAATACCACCTAAATATGGGGCCAAAACAGCACTAAATATGGGGCCAAAACAGCACCTAAATATGGGGACCAAAACAGCACTAAATTTGGGGCCAAAACAGTACCTAAATATGGGGACCAAAACAGCACTAAATACAGTGGGGCCAAAACAGCACTAAAAATGCGGGGCAAAACAGCACTAAGTGTGGGGGCCAAAACGGAACTAAAAATGAGGGCAAAAATAGCATCAAGAATAGGGGCCAAAACGGCCTTCGAGGCGCCAAGACAGCCCTTGTGATCCGTTTTGGCCCCTGTACATGGCAAAAACAGCTATAAAAATAAGGGTCAGAACGGCCCTAGTGTTCTGTTTTGGCCCCTAGTGTTCTGTTTTGGCCCCTGTTAGAGCCACAACGGCCCCGGTTTTAAAAAGCCAAAATTGCCCTATGGGGCCAAAATGGCCCTTCTAAAATTACTGTATATATATATATATATATATATATATATATATATATATATATATATATATATATATATATATATATATATATATATATATATATATATATATATAAATAGCAGTTACTTTCATCCTGCTCATCAGCACTACACTGATGAGGCCCATAAGGCCGAAACGGTACCGTCTGTAGTTAGATATCGCTCTATGGCCTTTAGGTCATATTGAGCGCTCTACAGGATGAGCCATTGCCGCTTACGCATTGCGCACGCTCACTGCTTGCAGTTTGAGCGCTCTGGCATGGTTTTGATGTCCCACATTCGTGAGGCATCAAAGGTAACTGGCAAACTAGGCTTGCCACACTCATCAGGTGAATGGTGATATCGCGTATTTACATGATGTTATAACCTATAGGTAACTTGAGTTATTATATACAAATGTTGACGTCATTAGGAAAGCGTAAATACATGTCTGTAATCTGACTACGGACTACAAAGCAGGAATTTTTTCCTGTGCCTACATGCCGATTTTAGTTCGTTTCTTGAGTTCAATGAGCTTAGTTTGGAATAGTAAATTATAATGAACTTTTCGTGCAGGCATAATTTACAACGTTTTGTTTTGTATGATTAGGCCTTACATTTCTTTAAAATTTTCCAGCGAATAGAGTATTCTATGTTGGACTGTTTCAACTGCCAAATATATTTACTCAGTTCAGTTGAATGTTTATGTTCCGGGTACCTGAACGAGCTTGTATGGTTGTAGTATATCACTTTAAATGGGCCCGCTGTGTGTCCAACGTAGGTTTCTTTTTGTTGGTTGTCTTTTCTCGTTACTATGGCCTGGTACACAACGCTTTCGGTTAAACATTTGCCAGGGAGGAGGCATGATTCTTCCTGACGGCAATAACACTTTCTATCGGGGTTTTTAGTAGCCTCGGGCTGCTTGCAATCGAGTACGGTTCTGTTGTGCGTCGTGATGATATTGTGCACGTGGCATACAGCTGTAGCTTAACTTAAGGTTGTTCCTATTGAATAGTTTATGTAATGGATGGTTTGGTGGGGAGCATTCATCTACAATATAACCTGCAGAAAATTATTTTATTTATTTTATTTATTAGTTTCGCCATATTACAATACACAAAACTATAACAAGAACAAGAATAATATACATGACTATAGGCAGGGTGACCGCAACAGCGCGAGCCAATTACTGCAGGCCCGAATTAGGACATACAAACATAAAAAAACTATCTAAATAAAAATATAACTAATAGCAGCACTTAAGTGGCTGAACCAGAGTTCCAGCGGTATTACACTTGGTACATATAGTTTTGAATGTTCTTGGATTTTCAGGATCGTAGGAAATTTCCAAAGCACGGAAGTAATAACTTAGAATAGTAGATTTAAATGAGTTCAAATTTATCATGTTAAGGTTCAGTTCGTCAGCTAGGCTGTTCCACACCCTGGTTGTTCGAATTAGAAACGAGCGTTGATACGTCGTTGTTTTGCTCCTGGGAATGACAAACTTAGGTATATGTCCGTGCTTATAGACGATCTGGTCGGTCTGGAGCTTCGGGTTTTTGGTAATACAGAAGGTTCTATTATTACCAGATTGTTCACCATTTTAAAGAAAAAAACCAAATCCAAAAACTCATGCCAGGAACATAATGGAAGTAATGATAAAGACTGTGATCGCGAGGTATAACTGTCTGGACTGGAAAACGGCAGATTGAGAATAAATTTCGTGGCACGCCTTTGAACTTTTTCCAATCTTGCAATTAGGTTGATGGACTGTGGCAACCAGATCTGGGTGGCATATCCTAAGTGAGGGCGTACTAATGTTAAATACAATGCCCTCCTCACGCTGGTGTTTTGGATGAACCGTGCGTTCCGTCTGATATAATCTAGCAACTTGTTAGCACGGGAAGATTGTTCTACTACTTGATTATTCCAGGTGAGATCAGTTGACATCCAGACGCCAAGATCTCGTTCCGATTTTGTCATTTCTAGAGTTTCAACCTTCATCTTGTATGTAGTCACCACTGGCTTCGTTTTACTAGTGATAGACAGCGACCGACATTTACAATTGATTGAAGGGGAGACCGGAAGTCGAATACCAGGATTCTAAGTTGGATAAGTCCTGTTGGAGTAATTTCGTATC